AGCTTAAACCATCCTTTACTTGTCTCAACAAGAGAAATAACTCGTGTAACATGGCCCAGCAAATGACACGAGTACACCAGTGTAAATTTAACCATGTTGTTTGATTTATTAATGACTAACCCAACTTCGTTTTGATCATTTACGAATGATATAATTATGTAATAGTATTATATATTATATATATATAATTGTATGGGAATCTTCCTCCACGATCATGTTATTCCAAATGTTGGTAGAACTCCAGACAATTTTGCACCGTGGTGGGGGCTAACCACATCACACTTTGCTTGGAATGTCTATTTAATTAATCTGTTTAATAATCATTATTACTATGATTTTCTTCGAATTAAAATCATAATCTTATTAGATTATTCCTCCTCGTCCCCCGTACGCGGTTTTTGGGATGGTCCACAGATTAATTATACTTCTATAATGTCTTTCCGCCGAAAAAAGAGATATTATAATTAGGTCAAACTTATTGTTAATCGCTGCTAAATTATTGATTTGAATGCGTACGTTATATATATATATATATACATATATATATATATAATTAGTGTTAAACGGTAATCAAGATATGGGGATTAAGAATAATATGATGTTTTGTAGATCCCACAAACTTTAATGGTGAAATCAAAGAGGATTGCCGAATCAAGAAGTTAGGTAATAGTCAGAGGGAATTAGTACGTCCTTGAGATCCGGTGGATCGCTTTATTGATCACACTCACCAATAATTAATTATATTATATACTTACTTATTTTTGTATATCTTGGTTAGTTTCATATAGTTCCAAAACTATCACTTTGATCACGATATATATATATATATATCATTGATGTGATTCGTGTGAATTTGTGGATTTTGGACCATTTTTTTTCAAATAAAGGTTATCAAATATTATCCTAAATAGCCGATTAGAATATTATTTTTTTTAATTATCCAGCAAGTTGCATAACCCAAAAAAGGAAACACAAAAGTTGTAGACAGCATTTTTGCGGTTTTTGTTACATTAATTCACAAAAAATTGTGGTCATGATCTTAAAATAGTAGTTCAAATATTTTAGTTTAAAAAAACTATATTAGACCTCAGATTCAAATATTTAAGTTTGGTCCGAATTTGGTTTTCATGAATAAAAATATTCATTTTTAAAAGAAATTCATTTCGAATGAGTTTTTTCGTTAATTTTATTGAATTTAACTAAATTACTTCAAAAAAACATAGAAAGAGTTCCTAAAATATCACATCATAGTTTTATTTGATAATTTGGGAAAAGTGGAGTTTGATTTACAAAAAAAAAATGATAATCCTTAAATATCGATGTATATAGTATAACGTTTCGAGGGAAGGGAAATTAGATGGCCATAATGGGCCGACACAACAAAATATTAGCCCATATTTCAGGCCCATTAAACCCACTTATGGATTTTTAATCTATTGGGTTGAATTGAATTGAATTGTCAAAATATAATATCAATTATCAATTTAATTAGAGCTTTAATAATAAAGATATGTGCTCTTTTAAACAGATTGAATATTCTACATTTTTCAAATAATTAATATTCTAAACTTGTTTTTTTTTACTGTCGAAGAGGCTGAGCTATATATATTTGTAAATTGTAACCAGTCTACATTTTTTCTTGCTATATATTTTTTTATAGCATAATAATATGACGAAAATAACTATTTTTCGTATTTCAAAACTATAATAAAACACGATTTTATTAACCTAAGACAACGAGAGTAGATGCTAATTGACCCTTACACACACGCATATATATATATATATATATATATATATATATTCGTTATCGGACTTGAAGTTGATTATCTAACTAGAAGTTTACATAATTAGGGTAAGCATTAATCATTGCAAAGACTGCCCAATAGGTTTGAGTGCCGGTCGGTTGATTTTTATTTTTATTTGCCCATTTAATGTATTCATATTTTGTAAGCAAAACTAAAAAAAAATACAAATGGTACTAAAAAAAGGTAATCAAATGATTTTTTTTGGTTGTCAAAAGAATATATACTTTCAAAAAAGAAAAAGAGAAAAGGCACCGAAATATTTTAAAATTTTAAAATTAAATGGAAAAAAAAAAAGAGAAAGAAGAAAGTGAGTGGGTATTATCTGTATATGGGTTGGGGGTGTAGGGTTAGGTTCCAGCAAATGGGTATAAAGAGGGATGAGGCTCAAATTCTCCTAATAACAATTTTAAAAATATTATTTTATTCTTGAAATCTAAAATTTTAATTATATTTTATTTTCTTATATCTCCATTTCCATTGTTTCCCTCCTCTCTCGTGGCCCCATTTTTCTCTCATTTAAAAAAAAAAATCGAGTAGAGAAATAGACACCAATCTATATCCTTCATGCAAACCCATCAATTGTAAGTTTGACGTTCAATTTCATAGATTCTTAGATTTATTTAAATTTTTCACAAAATTTTTAAAAAAAACGTCATATCAAATTTATTATTTTTTGTGTGCCATAAGTTATTTTTTGTGATACAACCCTTTTAAAATTATTTATATTTCTTAGATGTCCCATCAATTAATTGAATTTTGCTATTATAACCATCAAATTAGATCGGAGAGAATGTCGCCCGGCTCAATCAATGCATGACGTTTTTATTCACAAATAGACTATGATTATATATATATATATATAACACCACCACCACCACCCATTTCATGTAGGTATACATTATTTTCAGAATTCAAAACCGTGATGTTTTCATCAAATTCAAGTAGGTTAGATTCAATTCTCCGAAAAAAAAAAAAAAACTTCGACATCACTATTTTAAAATTAAAAAATTGTGAGCAAAATCTAAAAATTTCTTCTATAAAGCCATGCTACCAACCGCGTCGTTGTTTTGGTTCACCACACCAAACCAAAACTCCGAATTCGGTTTGACTTGGTTAAGTTCGGTTCGGTTAACAAAAAACCATCCGATCAATGAAGCTTCGAAGCCAAAACAACTGCGTTGCTGTAATGAAGCATACACGGAATAAGACCAAAAATCTTAAGGTTCAAGAAGGGAGATTTCCCGACACGACAGAAAACCGTAACCGGAAGATATTTTGTCGTGATTCATTGGGTTTCTTGGAAATGTAGATTCGGTATCATACGTGAGGTTGAGACAGAGAGACAAGGTGGGCTTCGAACCAGTTAAGACAGGACTGTATTTGACATGAGATCACAACAACTAATTCATATTAGCTGTTACCAAAACGAGTAGTGAACGAGCTAAAAGGTTGTCTATTTTATTCGATTGGAACATACAATTTTTTACAACTCTTGCTTTTCAAACGGAATTTGTGGTAAAGAATCGTTTCAAGAAATCTGAAGATGTAAATCTTGATTCAACAAGAACCACCAATCGATCAAGAAGAATCAATTAATCTAAGTAGTTGTGAAATGAGGAAGAAGAACATGAGAAAGAGAATGCGGCATATGAATATGGCAGACCACATGTAATGCAAACCCCACAAGCCACCCACAACTCAAATATTATTAAACAAGAAAAAAGATTCTTATATTCGTCGTCGTCCCCCTTCATACGGGGGGTTGTTCTCTCGGGTTCGACGGCTCAGATCTGGAGAGATGGGGATCATCGTGACCGTCCACTTAGATGGAGAAAGGAGGTATCTTTGCATATGGGCGGTGTCCCACAAATGTCCCCAAAGTGATGGGACACACTTTGCCTCAAAGTTGCTGCAACTGCTGCCGACACCTTAGCTTGCCTTTGTCCTTATTTCAAGATTTCTTTTTTATTATTGTTATTTACCCGAACACCCTTTTCCTTATCTCATGTCCTATAAAACACTTGTTTCCACGAACTCTCCTCTCATCACCAACAAGGCTCTCTTTCTCTCTCTGCAAAGGGAAGAACAAGTTCAAAGGAACAGCAAAAAGCTTGGCTTTTTTCTGCATTTCTAAGGGAAACCCAGAAGAGAAAGGAGTTGTCTCTTCTTCTTCCGAAGATTCTGTTTGAAATGGATAGAGGTGGTGTTTATGAGAATGATGAGCTTGTTAACCTCAAGGCCACCGAGCTGAGGCTAGGACTGCCAGGGACGGATGATGGATGTGATGTGAAGGAGATGGTTTCTTGCGTTAAAAGCAACAAGAGAGCGTTATCTGATACTGAAAAGGAGATTGCGTCAACGGGATTAAAAAACCAAACGGCTCCGCCACCAAAGTAAGTTGAAGAATCACATTCTCTGCAGCTGATGGATGCGTCTTGTGATGAACTCTGTGTATATTGACCCGCGGAGATCTATATGTTTCTTTTTCTGTAGGGCTCAGATAGTTGGTTGGCCACCGGTTCGATCATACAGGAAGAACAGCCTTCAACCAAAGAAAAGCGAGAGTGAGGGTCAAGGGATCTACGTGAAGGTAAGCATGGATGGAGCGCCGTACCTAAGAAAGATAGATCTGACAACGTACAAGGGATACCCAGAACTGCTGAAAGCTCTCGAGAGCATGTTTAAGTTCTCAGCGGGAGAGTACTCTGAGAGAGAAGGGTACAAAGGCTCAGACTTTGTACCAACTCATGAAGACAAGGACGGCGACTGGATGCTCGTAGGAGATGTTCCTTGGGAGTAAGTATCCATCCATCCGTATTCTCTCATACCCAACCAAAACAAATATCAAAATCTTCAAAGTTCGTTCATGTGCTTATATATATTTATATATGGGTCTGCGTGGTGTATCGTTGCAGGATGTTCGTGTCATCGTGCAAGAGGCTAAGGATCATGAAAGGATCAGAAGCCAAGGGTTTAGGGTGCGGTGTTTGAGAGAAAAGAGAGCAAAACCCAGAGAGAAGAGTATATGCGTAAAAAAAGGAGGTTTTCTCTCTGAAATTAATGTTAGGGTTGTCGGGCAAAGACGTGATGCATGCACGCATTGTGAACCCAGAAGCGGAGACTTTTACTTATGTTACCTCTTCGGTAAAACTTCAAGTCAGACATTGAGTTCTTCTAATGGTAAAAAGACAGTAGAGAGAGAGAGAGAGAGAGAGAGAGAGAGAGAGAGAGAGAGAGAGAGAGAGAG